TGCTGCTGTGCTGACGTGCTGTGGCTCGGTGTTGCCTCGAGTTTTGAGAGACGTGCTGCTGTGCTGACGTGCTGTGGCTCGGTGTTGCCTCGAGTTTTGAGAGACGTGCTGCTGTGCTGACGTGCTGTGGCTCGGTGTTGCCTCGAGTTTTGAGAGACGTGCTGCTGTGCTGACGTGCTGTGGCTCGGTGTTGCCTCGAGTTTTGAGAGACGTGCTGCTGTGCTGACGTGCTGAGGCTCGGTGTTGCCTCGAGTCGGGAGAGACGTGCTGCTGTGCTGACGTGCTAATTAATTCACCACACGCGATAGTGCCCTGGTAGGTGGCGCGACTTGGAGAGACGTGCTGCTGTGCTAACGTGCTAATGAGTAAACGATCTCGAGATCTCAAAATGTCCCTGAACCGTCCTTCTCCTTGTCCCGCTGCAAGTTCAATCTCCGGAATTGACTCGTTGTGCCATGGCCACCTCACCCTCGCCGACGCCGCTCGGCGAGCAACGGCAGCCCGGTGGCCCTCCAGCCGATGACGACGAGGCCGTGGCATCGGCTGGAGAAGGTGGCGTCGCGCCCGAGCCACACCCCTCCCCGCCCGCAGAGCGCCGACTCTGCGCGTCTTTCGACGCTCGTCTGACCCGTGTCTCTGCCTGTCCCTCCGCAGACGGCTCTCAAGAGCTCGCAATCAGCCTCTTCTCCACCGCGGCTGGCATGAACTTCACGCCCGCGGCCGCTCGGCACGTGCTCTTCGTCCCAGCCGATGTGCTGCGCTGGGCGGCGACCGTGTCGCCGGCCACGATGATGGCACTCGACGCCACGATCACCGACGAGCAGGCGCTCTCGTCGGTGGGCCAGCTCCGCTCCTTCCTCTCACAGCCGCGAATCGAGGTGCCGCTCGAGCACCCCTTCTACGGGCGCGCCGTGGGCGTCGTGGAGAGGTACTACCAGCCAGAGACCTGGGGCGGGCGGATGTCCAACCCGATCGGCTCCCAGCAGGTCAGGCGCGCCTACCGCGCCGTCCTCACGGTGCTGTACGACGAGCTGGACATCAAGGCGCGGCCCAACGCCCACCTCCCAACCCCGCCCCCTCTCCGCCCGGCAAGCCCGCCGCCGCTTCAGCCTGCGGAGCCCGCCGCCGCCGCCACAGACGCCTGCCGGCCCACACCCCATCCCACACCCAGCGCCGCGCCCGCCGCCACGCCCGCCGCCGGCCGCCAGCCCAAGCGTCGCCCTCTCCTCGCTTGCCAGGCCGCCGCCACCGTCCTCATCGAGTTCATCGCGCGGGCCGCCCTCGCGCTGCCGCACGCCGAGTACGACCGGTTCGAGTACTTTCTCCTCAACCGCGACCACAGCGTGCGGGAGCTCGCCCGCGACGACGACATCGACGAGACCAAGGCCAAAAAGCGCTTCAACATGGCCATCTCGTTCGACTACTACGGCTCGGGCAAGTGGATCGGCACGAACAACGACTTCTTCCGCGCCTTCCAGCGGCAGTGCAAGCGGCTGCAAAAGATCTTCTACGCCGCGCCTGCGCTGGCCCTGCTCCGTGACACGTGCGGCGGCGCCAACGCCCGCGGGCAGCT